GGATCCGAAGGTCGGTTGCCGTCACTTCATCGGTCGTAGGAGTAGATAATAACGGTAAATAACGTTTGAGCTTACCCACATAGAACGTTGGATGGATCTGCCATGAGGTGGGCAGACCAAGCTTGTAGTTGGTGGGACTGACCACGCGAAGAACGGTAAAGGGGCCGTGCCAAGCACTGCGTAGCTTGACGTTGGACGGCATTCCAACCGCACGTGCGCGGAATGCATGGGCGGGCACCGCCGACTTGTGGAGGAGAACTTGTTCGCCGAAAGACGCGAGGTTAGAACGGCCATGTTTGTTGGCTTGAGTTGATTGACGCTGCTGAGCGGCAGCGATGCTGTCGTGGATCTGTTGCATAACAGAGACGCGACGGGAGAGGAAACTCTGAATGGTTTCGAGAGTGCGGCTGGGGGCGTTGGAAAGGATGCCTGCGGAACGAAGCTGCGAAGTGACTCCACCCCCACTGGAGATCGAACCTTCGAGCATAGAAGGGAGGCGGGGGTGTTGGAGGTGGACCGCATAATGCGGCGAAATGCCAGTGGACGCCTGATCCGAGGCGTTGTAAGCGAAAACCGCGTGCTGTAGCGTGACAGCCCACGAAGAACAGGTAGAAACGGAGTAGCTCCGGGGGATATCTTCGAGGACGCGGTTGGCGCGTTCCGTTTGGCCGTCGGACTCGGGGTGGTCTGAAGTCGACATATCGAGCGAGGTATCGCATAGAGCGAATAAGGTGGACCAAAACTTCGCCGTGAACAGCTGGTCGCGGTCTGAAACGATGGAGCGAGGCAAGCCGAAACGACAGAAAACGTGATCGAAAAAGAGGTCAGCGGCATCCGCGCCGCTCAGCGTGTCCCGGACGGGGACGGCAATAACATACTTCGACGCTCGGTCGACACAAACCATAATGCCGGTGTTGCCGCGGGCGTCGCGGGGCAGGCCAAACATGAAACACCAGTATGAACTCGCTAGAACCACGTGCATTTTGTCGCGACCGAAATGGCCGCCGCTGGGGGAGTCGTGGTAGGATCGAAGGAGAGTGAGGCGTAGTTGCGCGTCACCGGACACAACAATGCGCGGCGGCGAGTCCGCGGTGGGTTGAAACATCAAAAGCCCATCGGCGAGGGCGAAGCGGTGTAAGGCCGACGAGGCACGGCAGAGTTTGGGGGAAACGGGGTCGGTGAGCGCCGCCAGACGCGACGAGCAGACAGCGTCAAAGGGGTACGCTGCACGAATTCGATCGTGAAGACTCGTCATTAAAAGACCAATCGTGGTCAGTTCGAGATCAGGGTGCCGAGAGAGGGCGTCGGCCAGGATGTTGTCCTTCCCGGGCTTGTACTGTACCGAAAATGTGAATTCGGAGAAGAACGAAATCCAGCGCGCCATGCGCTGTGAAAGGTGGGGCGTATTCGTCGCTGTGCGTAACGACGCATGATCGGTGTAGATCACGAAGGATTTTCCGCCGAGGAGGTAGATGCGGAACTTGGTCAGGGCGTACTTCATGGAGAGAAGTTCCAAATCGTGGACTGGGTACGCCCGCTCAGCCGCGTGAAGTTGGCGGCTTTGGTAGGAGACCGGGCGAGGGTGACCGGAGGCGTCGAGCTGCATCAGGCAGCAGCCAATTGCGAATTGCGAAGCGTCGCAAACGACGGAGAAAGGTTTGTCAAAGTCTGGGAGCGCCAAGATCGGGGCGCGTTGAAGGTTGGTTTTGAGGCCGTCGAAAGCCTCTTGACAAGCGGAGTCCCAAACCCAAGGGGCGTCCTTGAGGAGAAGCCGAAACAACGGCTGGGCGATGTCCGCAAAGTTTTGCCAGTATTTGTGCAGGTACGTCGCAAGGCCCAGCCAGCGACGAAGATCCTTGACGGAGGAGGAGATAGGCCACTCCGAAATGACCTTGATCTTTTCGGGATCAGCCCGACATCCGTTCACCCCCACTAAATCGCCCAGGACTGGGATTTCGTCAACGCCAAACATACATTTGGTGAGGTTGGCATAGAGTCCGTTGGCACGGAGGACTTCAAGCACTTTGCGGAGGTGGCCGCGGTGAGCGTCGAGATCGGATTGCGTGGAGGATGCACAACTGTGAACATAAATGTCGTCGAAGTACGACGGAGCGAAGTTGCGAAACGCGCGGAACTTCGCAGTAACTATACGATTGAACGTCGCCGGGGCGTTGGATAGTCCCTGTGGCATGACCAGCCACTCCCATAACATGCCACTCGGCGTAGAGACCGCCGTTTTTGGAACGTCGCACAGACGCATCAAGATCTGGTAAAAGCCATCGCGAAGGTCGATGGTGGACAAAATGGTGGATCGACCTATGCCGTCGATAATAACGTCTATTCGAGGAATGGGCGTCTGAGCCGGAATCGTGGCTGCATTCAATTTGTTAAAGGTGTGTACAATACGCCATTTCCCACCGGGCTTCCTCACACAGAAGGTCGGGCTGCTGTGAGGGGAGATGCTCTCGCGGACGTGACCCGCCGCCTTGCGGGCCACGAAGAAAGCGTTGATGGCATCGACTTGGTCGCGAGGAAGCGGCCATTGCCGCGTTACACAGTACTTTGAACCGGGCACGAGGTCAATCTCGTGTTGAACGCCCTTGTCGACCGGGAGGCGACACGGTACCTCGTCGGGGAAGACGTCCTCAAATTCTCGGAGGAGGTCGAAATAGGGGTTGGATCGCAGGGAGTCCCACGTCTAGGACTTCAAAGGAGCCGCGAGGACCGAGTCATCTGCGGTCGAGGTTGAAAAGAGATCGTCTCTTCTTCAACTGTGATCATCGCCAAGGCGGCGATATCGTGGGCGCGGAGAGATTCCACGAGCGAGTGGAAGCTCTTCTCTGGCAGTGCCAGGATCTCGGAAGACGTCCGAGGGAGTTCGTGCAAGTTACACGTTTCTTCGATAAACGTGGTTGCCAATGTCGAGGCAACGATTTCGGGGGCGGTAACGTAGCCTTGCCGATAACAACAGAGGACGACTCTGTTGGGGGCACAAAAGGGGTATTGTGCAACACCGTGGTTGGGTCCGATTGGGCCGCGGGCGCTGGGGCCAATGAGCGCACTGCGGGACTAGGAGAGGCGAGATCATTACTCATCGCCTCGAGTGGAGGGCCAAGCGGGTTGGTGGTGGATGGGGGAAGGCGATCGGCAGCCCTCCGATGAATCCAGGGTAGGCTCGCGTTGAGCCAAGTAACCTTGTGCACGGATTTGGCCTTCCAGTCAATCCATGGCTGGTGGGACTCCAGCCAGGACATCCCGATGATGAGATCCCATCTCTCATCGAGGTCTATAACATAGAACGGTTCGGTCGAGTCGAAACCGTCGAAGGTGATGGGGACGTCGACGATTATGCGTGGTTGAGACGCAGTGTGGCCGTCGGCCATCTTGACGCGAACCCTGTCGGAGGGATCCGAAGAGGGTAGGCGGTTGAAGCGAGAGAGAGTGGAGCGGCTGGCGTAGTTGTTCGACGCCCCACATTCGATTAAAGCAGAGAGCCTGGCCGGGAAGCCAGGCAGGACAAGTTCCAAACAAATCATTTTGTTGGGTTGGAGCCCAACACGACACAGAAGAAGGTCTGTGTCCGAGACTAGGTCTTTAGAGTGTGTCAGCGCGCCACACACTTCCAAATGGTCTAAGGTGTCCCCAGTAGGTCGCCTCGCGCCTACTGGGAGCGACCGTTTCCCGCCGCACTCGAGCTCGGAGCGGGCCGGAATGGTGGGCGTGAGCCACCATGGCGTTCACGATTAAAGCGGTTAGGTGGACCGCTCGGAGGGCGACACGAAGGGGTATCGGGCATGGTACGGGAGGAACCGTGCGAGGGTGGGGCGGCTGACGCTACACGGCGAGGGGCCGGGCATGCGCGGGAGAAGTGTCCCGGGCGACCTCAATTGAAACACGTGCGGTCGTCCGATGCCTGGGCGAGTATGGAGACATCCATGTCTGAGGACGCCGCGCGTGCGTGCGCAAAGGAGGAGGAGAATAATTCCGAAAGCGCGATTCGGACGGCTTCTTCAAACGTGTCCGGGTAGGCGCGAAACAACTGTGTGCGCGCGGGGCCTTGGTTGAGAACCGTCCATGAAAACAGTCACCCGTAGTGCTCCGGGAGTGACTCTTCATCGTTAATGTTCGCAGCCAGGAAGCGAAGATCATGGATGAATTCTGGAAGGGAGCGTTTCCCTTGCTTGCAAGCCAGATATTGCGAGCGATAGCGAAAGTCGCTGTTGGGTGGCAGGAACATTGCCTTGAGTTCGGTCTCGAAGACCGCGAAAGATGGGAAGCAGTGACGTTTGGAGAACGCCCAATCTTCCGCACGACCCTTCAAATGCGACATCGCGAAAGCTACGCGGGTGGCGTCGTCGGAGATACGCTGAGCGTCAGCAGCAATGCTGACTTGTAAAAGCCAGCGGAGGAGTTTGTCCGACTTCGCTCCGCCGAATTTGGCCACATCCAGCTTGATCGACTTCAGGCGAGAAGTCGATGGTGTTTCCGACTCCGAAGCGCGCGTGAGGCGCGCGATCTCGTCGTGAGCGATTCGCAGAGAATCTTGGAGGGTGCAACCAAGGGACGACATGGTAGAGGCTTGGTCTTCGAGAGTCGCGATTTTCTCGCGAGCGATGCGAAGTGAATCTTCAAGGTTTCGCCCGTGCGAAGACATTTGGGCGACTTGTTCTTCCAATGCCTTCTGGGCGGCCGTAGCTTCGGCAACCGAGAGATCGATCGTGCTACCGATGCCTTCCACAAGGCGAGTTTGGTTATCGGGAGTCTTCCCGCCAAGGAGTAGCGCGGTATCGTTGTCACCAAAACCGCGACGCAAAAGGGCGAGGACCGCCTGGTGGGCTGCGGTGTTGGTGGAGGACATAATGTTGGTCGACTGGACGAACGTGGAGTGCTACCAAGTGTGAGCGTGCGCAGAGGAAGACGCAGTAGATAGTAGAATCGAGAATGAATTGATAGCGTTAAGACTACTACGCTATCACTAAGCTACGCGCAATCAACCATCGATGTATCGTCGGGGGAACACCTTGGTTGCGCAAGAGGACTTGTTGGTGTGCGAAGATACACCTTGGACCAAAGAGACACCTTGGACTGAAGAAGTGTCGACTAGTCATCCGGTTAGTAACCGGATCATGGGCACGGTTACAACAAGCGTCACCACGACTCGTTGTACGACCCCAGCGATGGCCAGGACGTTCAGCGCAAGGAAAACAACAAGGGACGGCGTTTTTGTTTCATTGTCAGCATCATTGACTCGCCCGCGATGAATTGTCGTGTGCTGGCCCTTGACATCTTTCGAGGCGGGAATTCTCAGGCCAAGGAACTCAAGGACTACCACGTTATGTTCAACTACGAGTATTTTATCAAGTTGTTTGAATCGCTGCTGAACGAGTTGGCCGCGTTGGGAATCTAGAACGCCTACATCGTTATGCATAACGCGAAATACCACAAGGGACCCCCTCAAGGAACCCCAAGTCGACGTCAGTGCAAGAAGACCCTCCAAGAAGCCTGCGCAACCTACGACATTTCCTACGAGGAAAAGGATTTCAAGAGCATTTTGCGGCAAATGCTGTCGGAGTGCATTCAACGAGAAGTAGATCCCAAAATCGTTTAATTGGCAGCGTCGAAAGGACACCGAGTTGTTTTTACGCCGCCCCATCACTCAGATTTGCAGCCAATCGAATTGGCCTGGGCGATTTTGAAAGGGTAAGTCGGGAGCCGCTACTCTGATGGAATCGGTTTGTCTGAGGTCAAAGAGCGCCTCCAACAAGCATTTGACGACATGAATCCCAGGTCTATTAAAGGCTGATCAAAGCCTATGAGGTAAAGCTGCAAAACATTTACGACCATCTTGTTGAAATTGACGCCTTTGCAACGGATGAGGATTCTTCAGGACAAAGTGGTGGTGCCACTGATGATAGCGATTGTGAGCACTCTATTTAACAAACTTACAGTTAACCTTCATACATACAAATACTCGTAAAATATATTTGTACTTCGAAGTACTTTGCAACAAAGTTTCGAAAGTATAGTTACACTCGCTAATTGTATATCTCTAGAAGTCTATAAAAGGTGCGTATGGACGCCTCAGAAATCAGGAAAAAGCTTCCAGAGTTTTCAGGTGATTTGCCCCAATTAACGGAGTCAAATGTTCGTGCACACAAAAATTAGGGAATCACAGGTAGAAATCTGGGGGACACACACGTGTATCAAAACACAAGGGAATTGACCTAGCGTTACATATTAATATTGATATTACGCTGTAAAGTTAAAATCGCTCAGCGGGCACTTAATGGCCTCGGCCGCGTACTAGCTGCTTTGGCAGCTAGCGGACTTAAATACCTGAAAAACCTGAGTGTGTCTGCTCGAAGGAACAGAATCCTTATATCGCGGGAGGTGGTAATCCGGGGTCCGGGGGGAGTCGCGGTGGCCGCAGGGTCGGGTCGGCGTAGCCGATGGGAGGAGGGATGGCGGGTTGTAGTAAGGAAGTTCTACGGGAGTGCCATTGCAGCGTCTTGGCTGTGAGGTGGGCTCTGCGGGCACGGATACGTCGGTCGTGGCCCATGGGGGCGGCATCATGGTAGCGGTGTTTAAGCCGGATGGTGTTGTTAGCAGTGAGGAGGGGTAGTTCCCCTGTGGTGCGTATGTGGTCCACGTTAGTAGCGTATGTAGTTTGCCAATGTCGGCGGAGGACAGCCCAATGCGCCACGAACCATTGGGTATGGAAAAGCGGAGCGCGGAGATGGGTAATTGAAGCTGCCCAGGTTTGTGTGGAGTGAGTCATGGTTGGGAAGGTTGTCCAGCCTGGGGTAGCGTGATAGATAGTAGGGTACGTAGCCTCTAGGAAAGCGCGGGATTCGAGGGCATATGGGTCGTAGTCAGGAATGGAGGTCTGGGCCCAGTGCAAGCAGTGCGTGGAGGTAGTGAGAGTCGTGGGGCATCGGCCTTGTGAGTTTCCTCCGAGCTGAGGAGAGTGGTGGGGGGAGGCCTATGCAGCCAATGGGTGGCATCTATAAGTTGGAGTATGGCCGTCCAGTACAGCTGGGAGAGGTGAGGAGCTCGAGTGTGTTGCCAGTGGTGAAGAATCCGATGTGGAGAGGAGTGGGGTTGCCAGTAGAGAGTTTTCCCCAGTGGGGGGTGGAGGCGTGGTGGATGGAGGAGGTGTGGCGAAGTGAGAGCTGGCGCGGGGGTATGGTGAGAAGCCATGTTGTTTGGAGCTGCTCAGCCGTTTTATGGCCGCGCGAGCCTTCGGGAACGACAAACCAGTAGGTGGCCGGCGTGTGGTGAGCGGTAGCGTCACATATTGCCGTGGTAAGCAGGCGCCACCTGGTGGAGGGGTAGGGGTTGTGAGTGGCATCGATCCACCAGTGGTGGTTAGTCGGGGGACGGGGGATAATGCAGTGGGGGGAGCGTCCAAGTGGACCTTGAAATGTAGCGCCATTGGGGCCGCCCATCCATTGACCAAACTAGAAGTCGCGTGGTGCAAGGAGGGGGGTGGATCGTAGAGCTGTGTGGTAGAGCCAGCGCGGTAGTAGGAGACCCGGCTTGGGGCACTGGTGAGATTCTCAGGATAGTTGGGAGGCAGCGAGCATGAGAGATTCGGGTTGGGGGGGGCAGTAGGTGTTGCATGTGAAGGGTATGGACACAGCGTTGCGCGGTAAGGGGAATCATGCAGGTGCCCGTGTTGGGGGAGGGGTTGCCGCCACGGCTTTTCCATTGCGGACGTTTCGGTCCTGGCAGGATGTGTGCGGTTTCTGTGCTATGTCCAGGTAGGTAGATATCTTGGTCCGGGAGCCAGGCCTTTGGGAGGACCGCTTGTGTGGCGAGGAGAATTTGTTGGGAGAGTGGGACCGACATTGGGCATATAGGGGGTGAGAGGCCGAAACGGTGTTCCTGCGTGTCGAGGGAAGCGGGGCATGTGCGACAGTGTGGCTCCCAGCTTGGGTATATACGGTGTTTGCGGGCGTTGGTGTGTAAGGTGTAGCAGATGGCACGCCAGTAGAAATTGAGCGCAGGGAGGTCCCATTTACAAATGTCCCCTGTGGGGATGCGGAGGGGCTGGATGGTATGGCGGGTGTCCGGTTTCCGGCTTGAGCCTTGGGCCAATCTCTCCGGCCGTAGACTGCGCCCAGCCATGGGGCCGTTGCGCCCGTGGTCATCTCGAAGCTCCCAGTAGTCTGAGATAATGAGGTGCGCATAGTTCGTGAGGGGCAGGAGCTGGTGTGCTAGGGTGGCGAGGGAGTCCGCCTCGGCGAGGAGTGTGCGCTTGGTTCAGAGGATTGGGTCGGGCGTGTCCGTGGGGTCCTGGTGAGAGCGGATCCATTCGTCGGTAAAGGTTCCAGTATCGGTGAAGAGAGCCATGAGCGAGCGAAGTTCCACCCTGTATATGTTGCTGTAGCGGGGGAGCCCCCCGCGGCGTTTAAGGGATCTGGCCAGGACGACAAGTCCAATGGCTTTTGTGTTGTCGCATATTTGTAGTGCAGCATCTCCAGAATGATGGAGGCCCACCAGGAGGCTATGTAGTTCGCAACGCGTGGGTGTGATGTGATTAGCGTGAAGTTGTTAGGTCCCCGCGAAGGTAGTACCGTCGCAGCCCATGTAGCTCCATGTTTCATGTGTGGCTGGAGTACCCTGGTGCGTGACGCTGCCATCACCCACAGCATGAGTGCGCGCAGCCCGTAGGGGGAGGGTGTGTAGGCCGTACGTCGGGGTAGTGTGGTGTAGAACAACTCGGCAGTGTGGGATGCATGCCGAGTGATGCCATTGGCCACAGTCGGGATATAGAGTAGTGTCCGCTAGACGGTGGACCTAGCGTTACAGCAGCGAGCGACTACAGAGCATCCGCCCACAAAATTGCGCGCACCGCAGCGCAGCGGTGGCCGTGTGTATAATTTTGTGCAGGCGGTGCCTTGGCGAGGAGTGAGCCCCAATCGTGCACTTCACCGAATGCCCAATCGATTCCTCTCGTCACGAAAGCGGTAGGTAGGTGCCGCTCCCAGACGAGGCCTGTGGAGGACCTTATATAGTATTTGTAACGCTATAGTTTCATATATGATTCCCCATTTTCTTCCTATGATTCCCGAATTCTTGTGTGCAGAGTTTCTGTACTCCAATCAACGTTATGGCAGAAATAGAATACAGTACACCGATTTGGCGTATGTTTTCCTGACACTTGTCCTGGTTCTACATTTATGATATTCTTGGGGTTTTCTGGAAAGCCAGACATCCAAGTCCAACTTATTAGACAGATTTCGGAAGCACTGCCGTAGACTTCCCACGCACGGAAATTTTAATGCACGGGAAATATATGGCAGACCCAACTCATGATTTCGACAAAACTTATTTGCATTTACCACATCCGCATGAGGAACGATATCCGTATGCTTGCATGTGTGGTGGCGAATCCACACCGCACATAGTTCCCTGTTGTTGCATTGCGTAAGCTTACTCATGTGCCCCATTACCACAACTGGCATCACGAAGGGGTCTTGTCACACACCTCATGGGTCCACAACTTTACTATCACTATGATCCCTGTTTTTGCGTGCCACGTTGAGCAAGGGAGTGGCTTTACGACACCTTATGAAACCGCTTGGTGATTTTAGTTCATGATTATAGGGGCGCAACTGCGTACTCGACCATATCCACTTCTGTGCACGTGCGGATTGGAATTGTGAGTTTTCTGTACGCTTCATGCGCCTATAGGCGAAACACCGAAGCCCCATATTCAAATCGTCGTGGCAGGACATCGAACCAAGGCAATTACGCCGACTGCTGGAGAAGGTTCAGGATAACTGGCTGAATGAATAAGACAAGATAAGATGCACGTAATCGCTCCACCTGAACTCTCGGAATGGCCTAACTTAGCGTGGAAAAGGCTGGACACCAGGCCACTCGGGCATGGAAGGGTGAAGCAGTGTGCATTATGCGCGACTGGTTGAAATCCACGATTTAAGACCAATGATGAAGCCCTAGAGGAGGGGTGACTTTTGCCGTACAAATGGCCGTTTCTACGGCATCCCACATAAATTTTGACAGTTCCCGTAAACTCGATAAATTTTAACGAGGTAAATTGACGGCAAATGCATGGGAACGTGTCCCGAAATCTGTCTATTGCGTGCCATTCCTGGTGATAAGCATACGTCATTGTCGAAATTAACGCGGATTTCCACTCAGCCTGGTCGAATGATGGTGGATTTACTGGCTGGAGTTGGGCTTTGCGGTGCGAATTATCCTGAATTATCAGCCCATTACAATACTGGAGGTTGTTATCCGAACAGTATGCGGATATTGGTGTGTCGATTTACTGGAATGCGGTGGAGATGCTCTTAGTAGTATCAATAGTACTTCGTAGTTATTACTACTGTAGTAGTGGTTAGTTCTCCACCAATGGTCGTCACAACTGTTAGCATAAGCTGGTCGGCGATGATTTACTGTCAGTCCATGTCGGAAACGTATCCGGAAAAAATATTTTCGCAAAATCCAGAAAATGTCGCTGAATACTTTTTCGTTTTTTTATGAAATTGAGTGCATATGGTACATGAAAGGACTACGAAAGACACACTTTTAAATCTATCTCTTCCAACGGGGATATGACTTAGATCTTCTTGCCACGTCGTTGCAACCTGACGGAACCCTGTGGTTAGTTGGTTCGTGCCAATCAAAATCCAAACACTACTCACGTTTCCAGGGTCAATCGTTCGTCCGGAGTGCAAGTGCCTGTCACGAGGTCCGAGACGCGACCCCCCGACGCACTGGGCGCGTCAAAGGACGTCCAGAACGCCTGGAAACAGACGGCTTTCCTGTCGGTCGTTGGAGCTGCTGCTGCTGTTTGTCCACTGTCGTCATCCCATTCGTTAAACACCGCCTAGTAATCGTACTACCAGTTAAGGGCTTGAATGCAGTACTAACGTTACATATATATACAAGAGTACAGGAGATGGTGTCAAGGACGACGTGGTGGGGAAAGTAGCGGTGGTGGCATCGCATTGAAACGAGATCTAGACGGCACATGAACAAATGGCATGAGTTAGTATATACATGATCGTGAAAATATGTGACATCGCTTGAGGGGTACTAGTACTTCTAGTATGTACCTCTGGCCTTAGCAACAGGTGGAGTAGCGGCCGCACACACTCCGCCCGACTAAACGCAGCCACGGCCGACACCAACACCAGCAACTACGACACATTTAACAGTAGTAAGTCAATGGGATATATAGTAGGATTAATAGGCCTACTACTAGGTAGAGTTGAACGATGAAACCAAAGCTCCAAGCACACATTCCTGTTTAAAGTACATCGTATTTTGTAATATTTTGTAATATAGAAATATACCTTGGCAAAGAGGCGCAACGGCACCGTAGGGTGGAGTAAAAACGGCGCCGCAGCGGTCGTGATGTCGTGCAAATTCCACACATTGGTCAACGGTGGTCTAGCCTACAATCCATGCAACGTCGCGTAACAATACATATATATATATATTATGGAACAGAGCCAAAAAAGAATATAATACACTAGTACTTGATACTACAAGTCATATTATATATATAATATTTCAATTGTATAACAAATCCACAAACGTACATGCAACGCCAACACCGCGAGCGCGTCCACCAAGTGACATCGCGCTTCGTTGCCATCCACGACAATCCAGCGCAGCTATCCGATTCGTCATATATATATTACCCTCCACAAGATATATAGATGTTTACGCTGTCAGTAGCCGAGAGCCATGATAACGATATTTGAATCAGTCTCGTCGCTTGGTCTTGAGTTAGCGGGAGCAGTGCTAGCCCTGGTAAATACCGAACCACCGTCGAGCTATAATTGTTTTAGTATTAAACGACATATTGATGATATTTCAGTGTTTTTTTTATAAAAATTAAGAGAATAATATATATATATTATAAATAATCATACCTCATCGCACGGTCCACCGCTGGGTCGTCGCTGACGTGAGACGCCCACAGCACGTTTAACACAGCTTGCAACAACAAAGCATTAGCTGGTTGGGTTTTTGTGTCCAGTGCCGTAGCAGACTGAAACAGCAGCAGCAAGGCGCCAGCTTCGACATATGCCAGACTTAACGCCTTGTCCACTGGCAGGGTCACGTCCACGGCCAACAGTGCTATTTCCAAGAGAATATTAGGAATATATATATATATAATCAATATAATTTTTGTGGTTTGTATTCACCTGGTTGCAGGGACTGCAACACACTCAGTGCAGTCTCAATAGTCGCAGTTATCAATAACGAAGAGAGGATCCTGGGATCATCCGTTGACACACTTCTCGTGTTCGTTATTGTCTACGATGGGGTATGATTGTGATGACCTTATAACATAAATATATTATATATATGAGCATTTTACTTCATGTAGGAATCGAGTGTGCAACGCAAGCGACTTGATAACCAGGCAAATGAACGTCGGATGCACCGGCTCAACTGTCGGCAGCCACGCAGGCACCAAAATCGCTGGATCATCAAGCCATACACTCAACCGAACAAGCCCCGGGAGGGTCTGCACCGCCATGCGTTTGAGCTACGAAAACCAATGCAAAAAAATATTAACGATTTTGCCCATCAGATGTATACTATGCCTCGTATTGGGGAGATTGAAAGCACTCGTAAGTATGGCGGACGTAGGCATGCCAAATGCGATGAAGTAGGTTGGGGGGCAGCTGTGCCAAGATGCAGTGGCTTGGCCGCGGCGACGTCTTCTCACCAACCCAAGATGCGAATGTTCCCATCAAGGTGGCATATTCGTTGTCAAAATGCAATAACTCGTCCATCCTAAAAACATAACGTAGCATATAAATATGTGCTTGACAACAACAAATACAAATAAATATATAAAAATATAAATTCGTCGATTTTCACCTATTCTTGTTTCGCCAATACCAATACTATTTACTAGTAGTACACTGTACAACTGCATCCTGTAGTCAGATAACCAAGTGTGGTTTTTGTATATAAGTACCACAGATATTCTATTAATAGTAGACACTAATTTTTCATTTCAGAGGAATCTTACAAGTAAGATATGTATGTAAGCACCAACGTGATACATATATCGTATATATCCGAATCACGCGTCGTTCGTTGTACATTGATATATAAATAATCGAATATGAACATATATATATATATAACACGAATATGCGGTGGTCTCACGATGGATATTAATGAGGTTGCACTACTGTTCAACCGTATCTTGTCGTACTACCTTTGCACGACGTAATTCAATTTGAACAGCATTTAAATATATATATATCATTCTTCCAATTGATCCATTGATATTTGAGATATATTCTCTTGATGACTATTTTGAATTATATTCACGTTTTCTTTATATCGGTAAAATAGATCCACGGCAAATACGGTACACGTACGTGTGTTGAAACGACTGAAACGCTTTCGGCGCCGGTTTCGTCGGTGGCGCAAGCAGCTGACTCGATATGCTCGTCAGCTTGTTCACACCCAGCACATGTACGAGGCTGTCGATGCCCATGAGTCGGCCTTCCATGCGCTGCCAGAAGAACTCGCGCTGGTTGGCGTCGGGGTGCTGCGAGCATGGTAGGGCCAAAGACTCTAAAATGGACGCCAGTAGCGGAATCGCTTCGATGGAAGTGGTGCTCAAGGTTGCCAGCGCCCCGATCAATCCTGTCCATCCAATGTGAGTCCCTTGATGGGATTTTTTGCACATAACGTTAGTTGTGGATGTTTTCATTTCTACCAATCTATTGGCGATGCGTTTTATATTGTGTTCACGTGATTGGTCAGATTATAGAAAAGACGTTGAATGAAATTGAAGCTTTTGGATTGGTCGAACGCGATACCGTCCGATGTGATTCATGGATAACAGTAGCCAAAGAAAGGAACATAAGTTTGGAAAAAACAAGTAGAGTCTTTCAATGTGCCAACGCACATTACGCCGATCATGAATACATCCTGACTATTATTCGTTGCTTCATACGCAGTAAACACAATAGTAGTATTATTGTCAAGTCGATTCGACATTGGAGTTGAGGGGCTCATAAAATCGAATGAGCAGCCAGACAATCGATGGACCAATCAAAACACAGTACATGAATCAAGTAGCCAATCAACTCCTCTCTTCAGCCATTCCACATTGAAGAAGTGTATGACCGAAATTCGTGTGCAGGGCGACACTTTGTACACACACACTTTAGAACAAGTAGAATCGATCGATGGATTTGGTAACGAAGCCCAAAAATCCAAATTTTGGCATAAATTATATTATCAACCTGAGAGTCCAAAATAAGTGGGTAACTAACTTCCCACAACTGCATCCAAAAGTCATAGAGACGAGTGCGAGCCAAAAATAACCTGGTAACCATGGAACCCCTGAATGTGATGGTCACACGTTAAATGTACCTTAGCAGTTATTTCTGGAGATAACAAATCAATACGTAACAATATGAACGATAAACAACACAGTGTACGTTACCGGCCGACTTTTGGCGTACGGTCGACGCTACATGCATGACGTATTTCTCGCACGTGGGAAACACCACTTGCCAGTGTTTGGTCAAAAACGGCAGTGGAATGTGTGGCACCAGTTGTGCCGCCACGTCTAGTAGCCCTAGAACCCGACATGAGTGCAGGCCGTTCTGGACGTAGTTGCTTAGATAGTACCTTCGGCGTGGGCCGCTGGGAGCACTTCATGGGGCGAATACAAGTTGAGCTTGCTCATCACTTCTTGAAACGTGGATATCTAATAGCATTATCGTCATGCAATATACGTATAGTACATGATGAGCAAAAACAACAATTTCGTGTCATTTTCCCGATGGTTTAATGTACAGTATGATGCACGTCATCTAAAAACTTCCAACTGGCCAAATCGAAGAGTGGAGGTTTTATTATTTAACGTACAATTAATGTAGTTAAACCCAAAAACCAAAACGTTAAATATCGATTTTATGCGTTTTATCACTGCA